GTCTTAGTTGAGCTAAAAAATAAAAAGATGTGTTGCTGAAACTTCTGTTTCTTTCACCTTTTAATCGCTAATCAAAAAAAATTCCAGCCATTTTTGTCGAAGAACCACGCTGATCGTTTGGGTGGCGACACGTCAGCTTTGTCCTCCGTTCCGTCCTCAAACAGTTTGGAAGCGCTGCAAATGCAAATGTTGCTACAGCAGTCACTTATGAATCAGACTGTTCTTAGCTCTTATAGCGTACTAGGCCCATACGCAATGCTTGCAGCTGCAGCATCTGGATCTTCGCACACCAGCAAGGTATTTGTTCTGTCATTAAGCAGCCTGTTCCTTTTTATGCGTTTTTGCGATTATGCAATGCAGAAAACTCATATTGACGAGGGATTGTCTGTGTGTTTGTCTGTACCTATTTTTCATCTCGAAACCTACAAAAGCTACAGGGGTGAGACTCTGAGAATTTAAGCTACGTGCACGTTCGGTCCCCTGCCCCAAAATGGGCCCTCTTACCTACGTGCTTCCCAGGTGGGGGCCCATCAAAGTCTCTGGCGCGTAAATTGTTAATTCGGGAACTTGAAAAGTTGGTGAGCTAAAACTTTGAGAGGATATTCCTCGCCGACGTAGAACTTAGTGACTTCAAGCTCTGCCCCTAATTATGCGTGTTTTTCATGTATGAGCTAGTAGGAATTTTTGGCTGGTAACTTGCTAATCTGAGAACTAGAAAAGCTAGAAAGCTGAAAATTTAAGGGAATGTTTTCAAACAATCCTGGTAGCCAGTCTCAATTCTCTCAGAAGATGTGCTACGAGGGTTGAGAATTGCAGCCTGTTTGAGAGCCTCAAACTGCCATGTGTGTTACATCCAGCATGCTCACAACTGATTTGTTGTTTTGCTGTTGTTCAGTCTGCTAATTACAGAGTTCATCGAAAGATGTGCTGAGTCCGGCAGTGCTTGCCTCGTTGATGAATCCATCGCTGCAGTTGCAGCAGATGCAGTCTGCACTAACACTCGATCCATCGATGCTGCTCGCCCAACCGCCGCTGGCACCACCTCCTTCTTCGGCTACTACAACCAGCACGGCGTCATTATCAAGCCCAAGCTTAACTGCTTCGTCGTCAACTGCTTCAAAAGCATCACCTGCAGCTTCGGCTGCTAAAAGAGCGGCAAGTAAAGGTCGCCTGAACGCTGTTGTCGAGAAGCTCGCATCGAATCAGAGCTAAATGTTGTTAGCAAATTTTTTCACTAAGAATTCTTTTTTTTTTGTCCTGCTCGCAGCCACTGGGTGTACACAGCGGCAGCTAATGGATTGACAGCTTTTTGTATTTTTACTAACGAGCCAAAAGCCAAAAGCAGTGCTGTTCGTACGCTGAAAGTTGGGAGCTTGACACCGCCAATGAAATTAGCTGTGCTGTTAGAAATAACAATTACAAAAAAAGACGCTTT